GCCTTCCAATTCAATGCTTTTCTCTTTTATGAACCCAAAGTCTCCACTTTTGTCATTTTCCATACAATACTTTGGCTTGGTCAGACCATAAATACTCCCTGTTAATACGATCGCTTTGACATTTAGAATTTTTTTTTCTTTCTCAAAAAGGGCACAGAGCAAATTGAAAAGAGCCTTTTTAGAGAAACCTGGTTAGATGTTACAAAATGATTCCTTTTTCTTGCTAGAAACTCCCACCTTTTCTGGGAAAAATTTCAAATGAAATAATCTTCATGATTTCACTAGAACGCACACCTGGATTTTTCAACCAGCTCCATTCCAAATGTTAATGATGACCTGTAATGTTTTCTTCTGTCTGGAAGAAATGACTTTGTGAAAATGGAAGCTACAGTTACTTGTATAGGAAAGGAAACTAGTCTGCGCTAGTCTAATTGATCAAGAAAAACCATACAAAAACTGACACTAGACATATTCAGGCTAGCAGATGTTTAGTGCTAAGGGGGATTAACTATTGGAACTGTTGCTTCTGGGCAGGGTAGACTCTTGATAATTTAAAGTATTTAGGTCAACTCTGGATGTTTCTCATAAAGTTGGGGCTTCTCATAAAGTTCTTCACATCTCTCAAATAATGGTTATAGGCTTGGGGCTCAGTTCATTGAGTCAAGCTCTCTGACAGCTCTCCTGCCTCAGCTTGGACACTTTCTAGAGTGGTACCTGGAATCCTCTCCTTTTTCCATGTCCACAGCAGAGAGAAAGCTGTATAACAAGCCTAGTTTGAGGGACAGAAGGTGAAGGCTGATGTGAAGATGTGCTGCAGAAGTATTGGGGGTCCCAGGGAATTTTGGTTAAGGGTTTATATAATGGATACCCGACCACATGGTGGCCTCTGTGTGAAGTGGTGTTGCAGGGGCTTGATAGAGTTTAGAAGTATGTGAGTTACCTGCCTGCTATGGTTTAGTCTTTTGGAGATGATGTTTTTGAACTGTGGTGGAAAATTGAAAGACAGGAGCCAAGCTGCCTGGCACTGTCCTGATGGAGCAGAATGGCCTCCAGTAGGGGTTCAGTCTTTCCCATGGATGGACTCCTACAAATTTCCCAGTAGAGCTGCTGACCTCTTATAGTAGATGCAAGCCTACAGAGAGATGACCTTGCCCTTCTGGGCCAAGGATTCCACAGGAATGGTCTCTGGACCCTGAAAGGTGTGCTGTCCACAGGTGGAAATGCATTGCTGTATAAGGAGGACTGTGTAGCTGCTCAAACAGTAGCCTTACATTCAGAAGGTTCATATTAAGTATCTCAGATGTAAAACTTGCTGAACCTATTCTTGCAGGATCTCCCAATACTTGCCCTTGCAATAAAAACCATATATGACTCTGGTCTCTATGAAAGTAATTGCTTTCTACAAAAGAAGGTGCTTAGTGCTGTGATACCAGTGCACAAGTTGAAATGACTATGTATGTAATAAATAAATATTGCTAGAAGACAGGAATTCCAGCCCATACAAAAGTGAGATTTCCAATTGACATTGTACCTGAATCCAACTAATGATATTTTTGTTGTATGTGTCTTCTTCGCAAAGAGGAAGCAAAAGAGAAAGCAGGAAGGCTCTCCTAGGTGAAATATGAAAGAACAAATAATTGTCTGTTCTTTATCATTGACAGGTTGCTTGTCTGTCCTTATTTCATGCCCAAATCTCAGCCGTCCAGCTGTTGAGCATTCATCTGAGACCCCGACTTTGACACCTGCCAAGAAATTGAAAATATTTGGGTTAGGACTCACCAGAATTTCCTGTTAAGATAAAATTTCACTGAAAAATTGTTATGAATCTCAGTCATCTATGTCCTGAGTAAGCGACTATAAAACAGCTGAGAAACAACAAGCATATACACAAATCCTTAAGAGCTACTGTCATCTTTAGCTCCGTTGATTTCTCTGGAGTTACACAAAAGATAAATCTGATTCCAAATTATTGTTGATGAGCGGGGGGGGCTCAAGAAAGTTTCCCAGATCTCTGCAGCCTTTATGCAAGAGGGAGATGTTACGTCTTTGGCCTTGACTGCGTTCTCACTTGTACTGGTGTGACTGGAGAGGAGTGTCACTGAGTCAGATTTATACCTGAGTTACATGGGCGCAAGCAAGAGAAGGATTGGGTAAACTGTGCCTAAAGCCCCAGTGGATTTGAGAGCCGTCTCCAGCAGCTTAGGTAGCTTTTCTTTCTATCCTTAGCAACACAGTCCTGATTAACCCTCCAAGCTGTGGTCAGTCATTTTGAGGACAGTTTGATTGACAGCATGTAACCTGTTAATGCTTTTCCCTTCGTTGTCCAGTCCATTAGATCCTGGAAGTGGTTGGTTGGCTGTGTTGCTTTTTTTTTTTTTTAATTATCTTGTTGATTTATTTTTAATCTCTTGGATATTCTATAAGGAAAAGTCATCTTGAGCAAGAGGCATGAAGGATTTCAGTGTAAGTACAAAAATATGCATTGAGACTCCTCTTTTCTGTATCTATAAAAAGATGTATTTGGGCAAGATGACCATTTTTGTTGTCTTATCAGATATGTAGTAGAATCTCTTTCTCATTCTGAAACTTCAAATGGACAATACAGAATTTGACTCTGCATGAGCTTTTCGTATTTCATGCAAGATTTTTGTGGCAGGCTCTTTCTTCACATTATATCCTGCTTCACAAGAGCAGACCTGGCAGAGCATCTAGGCTTGGGTGGGCAACCCACTTTATCACCCAACACTTAAAGGACAATGTTCCTTTACATCAGTGATCCCTTAATGGTCTTGTGAAATTATTCTCAGAGAAAATTAGCATTCTTAAAGTATATTATGATTTCTCTTGTATTTAATTTTTTATGTTTCTTTCTGTGTGATTTAATAGCTTGGAAAAAAAGTAGAATAAATCCTTGGGAAGCAGTTAAATTTCTGGGAGTGCAGCCAGCATATTGTGGACCACCGTTGGTCCAGGGACTACAATTTGTTTGGAAATTATGCTGCCTATATCCGAAAGCTCTAATGTGGGACTCATGGAGAAAAAGTTAGAGCCACCTTTGTGAAATGAGAAATGAATTTTATTTTTTTCCCTGCAAGATAGAGTGATGGATTGACCTTTAGCCAGGAAATAAATAAGTGAATAATTGCTTGGTGAAATATGTACATGGAAAAAATAAATCATACTGAAATCTTTGTCAGTGTGCACGGATATAAAAAAGCAAAGATTTGTCAAAATAATAATTTTTCAAATGGTGCCTAATGTCTTTTCTCACCTACATGAGGTTAAACTTCCATTTATTGCAGGAGTGAAGTTTCTGTAGTACAAACCACACAAATATTTCACTTGAGAGAAGCATAGTGATAAAATAATGGTTTTGTTCTAAAATGTGGAGAAAATCAGCTTTTACAGCTTTTTGAATGCTGCACCTCTGTAATCAATGAAAAAATTTCCATTAATTACAGTGGTCACCAAACTGGTTCTCCACAGAATAATTTGTGAGTAGCCTGACTATTTTCTTGAAATTCAAACTTTATTCAGCTGCTGCAACAAATGTAACTGGGAGCAAACTGAAGGAAACATGTCATTAGAAACACATTTATTGTTTTCTAACTCATTTGTGAACACTAAAAAATTTCTTTCTTGTGAGAGACTTTTTTGAAGTTGCCATAGAAAACTGCTATCAACTCAGAACATAATCTGGGAAGTAAATTGAATGTAGTTGCTTGTAGCCAGAACCATGTTGTACAAGCTACTGTATTCCTTACTAACAATTCAAATGGTTTGCTGCCTATATGTGAGCAGTAACTTTTGATCAAAAGATGACAACTCTGTGCCAATTTGAATCTCCATCTAACTTTGAGTCATTAACTCAAAGTGAGCTATGGAATCACTGTTCACAGTCATTAAATAGTCATTTGTCCTACTCATTACAGCCAATATTTTAGTAGTTGCAAATTGTGTTAATACTTTTTTCCACATCAAAACCAAAGTATTTTCTTTTTTTGCACAGTTGTTTCATTCCATTTAGGTCTGAATTTTTTTTAGTGATTGGCTTTGATAAGGGCATGCAAGAAAGAGTAGAGTCCAGTCTCTTTTCCACTTGTTTCCATCATGGCAAAGATATGGAAAACAGTTGGGTTCCAAATGGTGGGGTTCAACCTCCAGACTTAAACACCAAAGTCAGTTTAGCTTTAAAAGTGAAGGACACCAGCTGCTCCAACTCAAATTGGGGAGATCATTCTCCTCACGTCTCTGCTTACCAGCTGATTTAAAATTTTCCCACTGCTTAGCAGAACCAACATTTGTGGTTCTATTTGAGCTCTTGTGATATTTCTTACCATTATTTGTATAACTGCCATGGATATTCATCCAGATCATGCTTTAGCATGACCACAAGCAGCTGGTGTGAAACCAGGCTACTCTTCCCCTCGGTACACTCAGAAGTGGTTGTGTGCCACAATGTGCAATCACTACATTAACAAATTCAGTTTTGTTTTGGTTTCTGTTATGTGCCAGTTCACAGGGTTAAAGGGTTACATGAGAATCTCAGTTCTTATGAAAACTAAAACCAAAGTAAACACTGGCTCTGGTAGTTTCAGAGAAAACCTCAAAAATATAAGCAAGGAGGACACAAAACTCAAAAGGACAACAATAAACAAATATCAGCTTTTGTGGGTTTTGCTTGGGGTCTGACTCATGTTTTTTCTGCTTCTGGGGGGACTAACACCAACTGAATTCTCATTGGTGTCTGTAGGCCAAGGATGGTTTAACTGTGAGAAGCAGGGATACAGCTACTTTTCCTGCTGTGTTTCCTTGTATCTACCTGAGGTATTGAGTCTGTAGCTCCATGTTGGTACAATCTGCTCTTGGTCGAGCAGAGATGGTAAAAGCGTTGTGAGGGAAATAAACTTTACCACCATGCTAGTGATACACTGATTCTGCATGACCCAAAGAAACACAACTGTTTTTCCTTCTCTTGTAGTTACCCTTAAGCAAGAGGGATGACTCAGGTGCCTGCTGACTACCTGTCAACCACCAGCTCCTACAACTATGAGCAGCCCCTTCCCTCCGTGGCTCGGACAAGCACTCTCACCAAGGTACCCCCAGCCAAAAAAATAACTTTCTTCAAGAGTGGAGATCCTCAATTTGCAGGAGTCAAGATGGCCATCAACCAGCGAAGCTTCAAGAGCTTCAATGCACTCATGGATGACCTCTCTCATAGGGTCCCACTGCCATTTGGGGTACGGACCATCACCACCCCACGAGGAATACACTGCATCAGTGAGTTGGACCAGCTGGAGGATGGGGGGTGCTACCTTTGCTCTGACAAGAAATACGTCAAACCTATTAGCATTATGTCTGGGGGACACAGGCCAGTCCCTCCGCGAAGTGGCCGTCCCTCCAGTACCTTGAGAAGAGCAGCTCAGGAGAGCAAACTTGAAGATTATTCCTCACCTTTCACTCACCATGGCCCCAGAATACCCAAGAAAATCACTCTTGTTAAGAATGGAGAAAGTGGGTTTCGGCGCTCAATTATCTTGAACCGCAGAAACGCCAGGAGTTTCAAAACGCTCCTGGATGAGATTTCTGAGATCCTACAGTTCCCAGTGAAGAAGCTCTACACTGTTGATGGGAGGAAGGCAAGTATCTCTGATGCCTGGTGCTGGTCAGTTATTCTAACTGGTGTTATCTCATCAGTGTTTGCGTTCCTTGTGACACAAATCCTTTAGCTCATGGGGCGAACAGTTTACTCACATTACCTTCATCCTTTGGGTTTGTGTAGTTAGTGTCACATTAGTTACTTCTCCATTAATTACAAGAAGGGGTGATGTAGAAGAATATCAGGAATGGTATCAGGTGCTGGATTAATTTCAGATGCCTTCCACTTCTTAGTGCAGTCTTAATGTTCTCCTTGTGATTCTTAAATGAGTTTCCCGTAATTTGCCTTCTACTCATTATAAAGCCTAGTCATTATAAACACTGAAATTTCAGCAGGGATATACAATAAATACATGCTCAGGGAACACAATATCTTCACTATTATTCAATCTCCATCTCTCTTTTCACCCAAAGACATGTAGTTATCTTTCACATTTTCAGCTCTGCAGTGGTGAAAATCCTGCCTAAAGGTCTCTGTTGTCCCAGAGTCGGATCTCATCCCAACATGCCAAGATGTGGCTAGAATGACATGGGTACTAACTGACCAGAAGTGGTCACTGTGGAGGATTTGAAGGTGATGGCACCTACTAAGTTCTACATGCTAACATCTTTGCTGACAGTTTGAGTGACAAGCTCTGTAGGTCTCTTCAGGAGACAATGTGTCAATAGCTTTGTCCCTTATTTTGCACTCCCACTCCCAATCCAGCCTTTATTTCTGGAAATGGTTCAGCCTAAGATGCACTTGAACATCACTTCAAAAGATACTGATGCTCTTTGTTGCAGCGAGATTTTCTTCTCTGGCCTTCCATAGAGTTTAAGATTATCCTCTATATAGTGATAATGATATTTTCCACAATAAATCCCAGTGGTTCCATTGAGATCTTTTCTTTTCCCCTTTTTTCTCCATGTTTTCCATCTGCAGAAATGTGTGTGTGGATCAATCTCTCCACAGTCCCTTGGGGTTCTTTTTTTGGATATGAAAATTTTCATTACCTTCTTGCCAATAGGCAGTTCATCTTCTGTACCTTATTAATTTAATTTGCACTCCTTTTATTCCTGTGTAGATTATCACAGTGACATGTGACTATGGGTCCAACCTGATCAATGTTATCATCTTACTTGTAGCTAGAAAATATGTGATTATTAACATCTTGTCCAGGGAATTTTTTAAAGTGATTTTTTGGCCGTTCTTAATTTCAATCATTTACCTCTTTTTCTACAGTACATTACTGGTCATTCCTCTTAGGACTTCCTGGAGCTGTTACTCTAGTCTTCAGTGCAAAGCATTTAAGCCACAGAAAAATTCACTGTCTTGGATTCCCCAAACTTTTCCTTTCTTCAAGATCTCTATACAAAATTAGTTTTTTTTCCCAGAGTCTTTACTAGATACTGATGGTTTCTTTAAGGAGTGAAAACGGTGAGTTTGTCTCACAATTTGGAGAATTTCCTGAAATAACTTACTTCAGCTGGTGCTGAAGATTAGTTTTGACTGTACATCTTGCCTCTATACTTACACTTGCATTTTCTGATAGAGACAATGAAAACTTGCCTCCTCATTCTTCCCACCTTTGAATGACATGTGCTTTGCTGTTGTTTTGTCTTTTATTGCTCCCATTTTTCTGCTTAGTTACCTCTCGCAGATTTTCAAAGTTACACTTCATGAACTTCCTGAGAAAGGCCTCTCTATTTGCTGGTTGTTTCTTCTGTGGCCTGGATTACGGGGCCTTTGTTGCTCTTGGGTCAGAGAGTCTTTCAGTGCTATGAATTCAAAATTAACCTATAATACATATGCAAAGCTCAGGTCAGTAGAAACAGCAATTGAAAGATCTAGCTTCCAATGTTAATATAAATTCAGAGTGGAATTTACACATTTGAATTTTCATTCTGAGCCCTAAAGCCTTGAAAGAGGTGAAATGAGTATTTTTACTCTCAAGCATCAAGAAGACTCCCTACTAGGAAGGAAGAGCTAGTCTCACTGAAGTGAATAGGTGTTTGGACACTGACCTCAGCAGGGTCAAGAATCTCTCTTCCCAAATTAACCATGATTTTTGTTGTCAGTTTCTAAATCAAAATAGCAGTTTGATGACTTATAGGAATGGAGAGAAATTAAATTTGATTTTAGCTTAGACAAACCGGTTAAATTTTAAGCAAGTAAAAAATGTAAATCCTATAGTTCTTTTCAGGTCACAGCACTAGTTACTGTTTTCCAGGCGATTAACTGAAAAGAGTGCCCAAATAGAGAAATCTGTTGTTTAGGTTAACAGTGACATGTCATTAACTTGCCAGTGAAACTTTGTTTGTGCAAGTTTATGCACTAAAAGATAGACAGGCCTGGACTTAATTAATTTAATCCTGATCAGCTTATAAGGCATTTAGGACGGAGGATCATTTTGTTAGTTAACTTCTCTTTATTGACTGTAGAAGATCAGAAGACCGATTGAGACTAGACACATAAAATCAGGAGAATCAACCCAGTCCCAAGGTTTCATGCACTTGTTTTAAAGTGCTACAGATATTTAAATATTAACAAACATAAGTCACGGGACTCTATACCTGAAGATCACTTGGCTGATGAGACAGTTGAAAATTGCAGCTTTCCTAGGTTTTACTAGAGACTTAAGTTCTACACTGAAAAAGAACTAGGTGTGCTACTAAGAGCTGATATCTCAATACAAAAAGGTAGAGTAAAATTTTCAGCTTATCTTCTCTATCAGATGGATCTTCATCTCTGTTCTGGGAAGTCCTTATACAACCCAGTGGATTTTCTTTCTCCATGGTCTAAACCACAGAAGAGTGCCCCAATGTGCAGATCCCCACCGCCTGTCTCGGAAGAGGGGGGAATGCTTCTAGGGGCAAAAGGGCAGAAAGAGATCATAGAAAGGCCAGAAATTCTCACAGTCAATTAACCTATAAGAGATGATGTGTAGGATTACGTGACAGCAACAGAGGATTTCCCTTGCAAATGGCAATTATCCAGGGTCCACCAGCTGAATAGTCATTAAGTCTTCTTTAAGTCACAGGAACACAGCGATGTGACTACGTCTCTAGTCACAGATGTCCCAATTTCTGCACTTACTCTTGAATCACTAGACCTTCCTTCTACTGCCTGTCTTAAATTAAAACAAAACCAAATCCTTCCTTAAAATCCAATACTCCTTCAATGGCATTTGAAACCACATTGCGTTATGGCAAATAGTCTACATAGTTTATGTCTACTGGTGGCAATTACCATGAGCTTCTCAAATGGGATCTATCAACCGTCAGAAGAGTTTTCCAAGGGATGTGGCTAGTTTTATGTTTGTTGGAGTCAGGCCAAGACTTAGATGGTTTTTTCTTCGGCGCACTCAAGGCTGACCATAAGTTGTTATATTTAATGAGTGAATCTGATCCACTCTGTTATTTAGAAAGACTCTCCTTTGCTTTAGACTCTGCAAGTGAGAACATTGCAGAAGGAGCACTGTATGCAACCAAATTTCCTTGAGGGATCAGAGAATTACTGTGCAAGTTAATCAGGGGAGCAATCATGAGTTAAGGAATGCTTCTTCAGGCACCACTAACTAGAGGCTGTAAAGGATTAGTTATTAGAGACTCCTTGGGGTAAGGACCCTCAGTTTTTCTTCTGTGATTGTGTAGAGTTTGGAAGGAGACAGAGTAAATGCTGTGGCAAGACTAATCATTCTGGGTCAAATCAAGCCCTCTTTGGCAGTGACCATTTGTAGCAGTCTTGGAGAAAGACAGAAGGGCACATATGAAGGGATTCTTTCCCCAGTATATCTTCGCAGTCTCCAGCAACCCATAAGCTAAGATCTTCCTCAGCCAGAAGTAACACCATGGACTACTGCTATTCTAGTAGATAGAATAATATCAGGGCACATGGCATATACTCTGGCCTTGGCACCAAATGGCACTATCTATACGTTGTCTATATCTATATTTATTTCAAGACTAGGCTGGATGGGGCTTTGAGCATGCTGTCTATGACTATATTTATTTCAAGTCCAAGCTGGATGGGGCTTTGAGCAATGTGGTCTAGTGGAAGGTGTCCTTTCCCAGGGCAGGGGGCTGGCAAGGGGTTAAGGTCCCTTCCAACCCAAACCATTGGGCAGAGGGTTGGCCAGGGGGTTAAGGTCCCCTCCAACCGAAACCATTTTATGATTCTGTGATACATATTCATCCTACACAGTCTCCAAAACAGGGCCTAATTCCCTAAGCCTCCATATTCATCCTACACAGCCTCCAAAACAGGGCCTAATTCCCTAAGCCTCTAAAATTGGGTGCCTGCATTCAAGCTACTTTTTAGGAAAGGTCCCTAGTGTGTGTTAAATCCCAGATCTGCCCAGGAATTGCTTGGGAGAGTGCCAGTTGAGCACTTTAAATGCACCAAAAACCATTCTAACAACCTCACAGTACAGGCAACTCTGTTCCAGCACCCAGTAAAGACAGAACTTTTATTTTTAGCTGTTATAAGTAAAGGTATTGGCTTAACTGCTATTACTAAATCGCTGTTGGTAATAATGAGTGCATTTACAGCGACCTTAGGGTGCAAGGCCAGGAAACAGGCTTGTCTGACATATTTCCTGACTCAGTTTTACACATCCATATAGCCATTTCTAGGACATCTGTAGACTGCCCGCAGGCATCCTCTAGGCCACTCATGTTTGGGCTGTCCACCAAGCTCATCTGTCTTGATGACAGGTGTCATCACAACCGTGATGGAACTGTAAGAGGGAAATGGAATACATGGAGGCAAAGTAGATAGTTTAAAATGTGGTGTATATATAAACAATAAGAGAAGAAAGGTGATAATTTCCCTCCTTGGGTTAGTTAATTTTTCTGGTTCCATGTTGACATATTCACTGTGACACTTGGTTTCGTGCTGTGTTCAGGTATGAATAATTGCAACCAATTTCAGCCCCTCATCTGGTGCAAACCGTTGTTATCAAGTGAGCTGTACCACTTTCCACCCACCATGTGTGTGACT